GGCCTGGGGATTCGAACCCGCCACCTTAGGTGTTGTGGCTGGCGCCTTAGCCAATTGAGCCATAGGCACCGAGCCCCATCATCTGATTTTTAATTAATTTATTTATTTTTTGGTTATGCAGACTTTGGCCAAGTTCAAACACGCCACCCCTGATGCACAGGGCCAGTACTCTAACCACTGAGTATGGGTACCCAGGCTATTGTTTTTTTTAAAGGCTAGTCAAGTGAAGCAGTAGGTGGAGAGACCTGAATTTTTTATTTTATTTGTATTTATTATTTTTTTTTTTTGAGACAGAATCTCACTATGTTGCCCTCAGTAAAGTGCTGTGGTGTCACAGTTCACAGCAACTGCAAGCCATTCTCTTGCGTCAGCCTCCCAAGTAGCTGGGACTACAGGGGCCTGTCACAATGCCCTGCTATTTTTTGTTGCATTTGTTGTTTAGCTGGCCTGAGCCAGTTCGAACCCACCAGCCTCGGTGTATGTGGCTGGCGCCATAACCACTGCGCTACAGTCACCAAGCCAGACCTGACCTGATTATTTATTTATTTATTTATTTTTTGAGACGGAATGTGTTATTGTTAATCTCCAGGCTTTATTCACATTTCACCAAATTTCTATTAATGTTTTTTTTTCTTTTCCAGGATTCAATCTAGGATGCCACACCATTGTATCTTTAATTTTAAAAACTTAAATGGAGCTGGGTGTGGTGGCTCACGCCTGTAATCCCAGGACTCTGGAAGGCCAAGGCAAGTAGATCGATTGAACTCAGAGGAGTTTGAGACCAGCCTGAGCGAGAGCAGAACCCCATCTCTGCTAAAAATAGAAAAACTAGCTGAGCATTTTGTGGCAGGCACCTGTAGTCCCAGCTACTTGAGAAGCTGAGGCAGGAGAATCACCCGAACCCAGGAGTTTGAGGTAGCTGTGAGCTCAGTACTCTATCCAGGCTGACAGAGTGAGACTTTATCTCTAAATAAATAAATAAATATGTAAGTGGTGTGTGATGGCTACAAACAGCAGCCTCCTTGTTAGTGTTTACAGCTTGTGCCAGTCACTCTAAGGCAGTGGTTCTCAACCTTCCTAATGCCGCAATGTATCTTCATTGTTATAAAGGGGTCGTGACCCACAGGTTGAGAACTGCTGCTCTAAGGGGTAAGGGGTGTCCAACCTTTGTACTTTTCTGTAGTAAAGTACAGAATCTAAGGTATCACTTAAATATCACTTCATTGGAAGTATTAAGAGTTGTCTTGGGTCTAACACTAAAGACAGCTGATATGATAAGCAAAAGAAAAGATCCGTGCATACTTCTTGTGATATTTGACACTACAGATAAAACAGTCTTTAAATATCTGCATGCAGCCTACAGGATGCAGATTGGACACCCTTTATTAAGGGTCCAGTGGAGGCAGCACCTTCCAAGGTACTTTCAAGTTTCAGACCTCTCACTGTCCCCAATCTAGGCTTCAGACAGATATTCAAAGTGCCTTTGGAAAGCTACAGGGTGCCATGGCCAGGTTCACATTGGTCAAGTTGTCGAGTCCATCTCCACCAAGCTGCAGTACAAGGAGCATGTGATTGAGGCCTTATGGCCTGGCTGCCCCAAGATCCACAT